TGAATATTTTATATTTTGATTTGCCTTGTGGGGCTTAATTTGCAGAATATTAGGCCGGGGGTTTATTTAGTGCGAACTTTCGGCCAGAGGTTTACCCAGTGCACATTTTCAGGTAATGGTTGCGACTTTCTATGTTATCAAAAAAATAATAATAATAAAAATAGTACCAAATGATGTAACGATACTAAACACCTTGTTGTGATTATTGTAAATGTACTAATCACTTACAAAAAGAAAATGTGATATACAGTTGCAGAAGAAAGAAATGATCTAACAAACTCTCACCTACCTCAATACATTTTCAACGAGTATACTTATAACAATTATTCTAAATTATGTTAATATGATTTGCTATCACAACAAATTTTTCAAAATTTGAAAATTTACATACTACAAAACTCTACAAAAATTATATATACACATATAAATGTTGAAATATTAAATATTCTCAAAATTGGGGGTCCTTATCCTAATATTTTGGGAATTAAACTTATAGAAGCTACAATAATAGAAAGGGGCACATTTCATTCCGTGAATGATTTGGATAATAAAATACACGTCTAACAACTATGATATACGCATGATATTCATTGTTTTAACTAAATGAATTTTCTATAATAAAAAAAGTTCTTGAGAAAATATGAATCCCATAAAATTTATTAATTTTTTCATTAAAATTGTATATATCCATTGAGAAATATTAACTATGTATAATGGTGCCCTCATACAAAACATTCCTAATATTCTATTACACTTGTCTTTCACTTTATTTCTTTTATATGAAATATTTTGATTCAATATTATTATTAATACCCTATTTGGAAAATTGTAGATGCATGAAAAAATATATATATAAAACATATTAAAGTGGTTTATTATATGACATTAGCTATAGAATTTACTTCAATTTTTCAAAATATTATAAGTTAATCTTTTTATACATTGGGTGGACAATGCTATTGTTATCGTTGAATTTCGTCGATTACGGCCCAACAGATTTAGGCTAGTTAAAATCGACGAGAATTGGATTCCCCGGTCTACTTAAAAAAGTATTCGGGCTTAATCTTGCAACAAAATTTAAAGATTGTAATTGTACGGGGAAATTAAACTACTAAATTGAAAGAATCGGAAGAAAGCAATTGAAACAAAAAGGAAACGGATTATGAAATGGATAATTGGGAAAATAACATGAATTTAGGAACAAAAATAAGAAAAAAGCAAACAAGAAAGCAAAGTAGATAAATACTGGATCATGTGTTTTGTATTTTTTTTGGATGGATCATCTATCCTCATATCTTGGCTCCTCTTTAAATAGCATTTGATGAGCCTTGTCCGTAATATCTCCACTTTCCTCATTTTTGTTGCATATTCATTTTCTCCAATTTCCTATTTTTTGTTCAGGAATTTTCTTTGACTCACCTCCCCCATTATATCCTTCATCCATATTAAATATTTGTCTTTATTTGTACATAAATTGGGGTTGGATTTGGGTTGTTTGAGCCGGCTCATCTACTCCTTCGGGGTGCACTGCCAATCACCTCCGGAGGCTGAAAATATGTGGAAGTAAAAAATGGCCCCCCAAAAAATATTTGGGCAAAAAATTTTCAAACTTTAAAGCCCAATATTTTTGTATGAGATTTCGACAGTACCTTGGTCCGAGCTTCATATGGCGTCATCCGACAGCGGCAGGGAGCTGGTCCGGGTCGTCTTAGGGTCGGATTCATTGGGAAGTGCGGCGTTGGGACTAAAGCTTCTTGATTTTTTAGGTAAAAATTCAACCACCTCGACCTTGAAGTCGTTTTCGTATTGTAGGCTCGCTCCAAAGCTCGATCGTTGGCTATAATTTCGAGACTGGCCTATGAAATTCTATCATTTTCGAGATCCCTAATCATATATTCATCCTCCGTATATTGAGGTTTTGCATCCTCCGGAGGAGGTTGTTCATCCGTGGCAACTTTGTTGTTCAAAATCACTCATTTTGGCCTCCACTCTTATCGGATCCGGCACGGATGTCACAAACCACTATTGTCAATACAATTTTATTATGATATGTCTATGTATGGCCTGCTCGGAGCTTAGTCCTTACTGCCCCATCTCTTTTTGACTGAAACTAGTTGTCCGGTGCCGACGTCGCTTCCTTCGTCTTCGCGCTTTCGTCTTCCTTTTTCTCATATCGCATGGCCGACGCTCATCCCTCGAGGGTTGTTTGTAACACCGCGTCGGATGAAAGGTTATCACCACTCGGTCCACTGAGACCACCCTCTATGTCTATCCATTTTTTTGAAAATGGATTTCCGCAAATGTATCCCTTTGGTTCCTCCGGTTTCCATTGACCCTTGCTGGTCTGTCCGGATCTGGGGCTGTCTGTCCGGATTTGACGGATTTGACCCTCTTGGAGTTGGCGGGTCTTTCCAGGTCCTTTCCGACACTAATGATGCTTCCAGAGGTAGCGGGGGTGGCAAATCTACATCCCTTATCGCACTCGGATGTGGCATCATCATCGGGGCTGCTTTTCGGATCATTTCCAGAGCTTGATGCACTTCCGGAGGTGGCTGGGTTGTCCTCCGGGTAATATCCGGAGCTGGAGGTGCTCCCGAAGGTGGTAGGGCTTTCCTTCGGACAGCGTTTGGAGCTAAAAGTACTGCCAGAGGTGGCGGAGCTGTCCTTTGGGCAATATCTGGAGTTTGAAGTGCTCCCGGAGATAGCGGGGCTATCCTTCAGGCAGTGTCTGGAGTAGGAAATGCTCCCGGAGGTGGCAGGGATGTCCTCCGGGCAGTGTATGGAGCTAGAAGTGCTCCTGAAGGTGGCGGAGATGTCCTCCGGACAGTATTTGGAGCTGGAAGTGCTCTCGGATGTGGAAGGGATGTCCGTCGGGCATTTTCTAGAGCTGAAAGTGCTCTCGGATATGGCGGAGATGTCGTCTGGGCTGTGTTTGGAGCTAGAAGTGCCACCGAATGCACCTCCTAGATCGTCCGTGGCGCCATTTGCGTTGGATATGCTGCCAGAAGACCTCTCGGGTCATCTGTGGAGTTGGTGGTGATCCCGGAGGAGTCGGAGCTGCCCCCAAGTCATCTGTGGCACTGCCAAAGCAGAAAAGTTCCCGAATGGTATCAAAATCCACCAATTTGGAGAGCCGTAATACTGGAGCTGTGCGGACACCTCAAAAAATTCATCATGTGGTATGCTCCTTGCCACTCATGCGGAGGCGGCACTGATGGAGTTGGTATATTTGATCCCCATGCCAGTGTGACGGCTGAATGGGCTGACCACCAGGGTACACGCGGAGGTGATGCAGTTGCCCACCAAGTGATTCCGGAGGTCGTAGGAACGATTGGAGGTGTCGGGGCCATGTTCAGCGATGCCCCCCAAGCATCGATGGCCACTCCTTGATTATTGCGATCCAAAATCGAGATATGGGTACATGTTCCACCAAATTAAGGGTTAAGAGTACCATTGAGAGGTTGGTGGCATATCTCTGATGCTTCCCGGAGGACTCTGGAATGGCGACTGCCCTGTAATAACCTGCCCGGAGGACTTCGCTGCTTCAACCACGAGCTCATCCAGGGCACCCTTGCTGCTGGTCCTTTGAGTCTGTATGGTTATGTTGCCATACCAGAACATGTCTGAATGGGATCCGATGCTGGCCCCCAGTTCCGCCCTTGACAGAGCATCGTTTCCGTTAGGTTTGGTGTTGGTAGCGGGAACTTCTCCTTTGTGGATCTCTTCGTCCTTCACCCATGCGAATTCATCGCAGATGGTGAGCTTTAGTAAATCTATAAGGTACCGGGAAAGCTCCGGTGCTGACCCATGGAAATGCCGTTTGGGTCTCTTGCCGGATCTGACCATGTAAAACGCTAGCCAGAATTGTCACCATTCTTTCAATACCTTCCGAAGCTGTAGAGTACTCATCATGTGAGATCTTCTTGGAAACATGTGGCGCTGAATTTTTGCCGACGACTCCTTTTTCTTTCCACATGGAGGTGCTCTCCTTTATGATTCCTTAATTGCATGAAATGCAAGACTCATCAAAGTCCCACTAGGCGTGCCAATATGTTATCGCTGAAATTCATCGATGACGGCCCAACGGATTTAGGCCAGTCAAAATCAACGAGAACTGCATTCCCCGGCCTACTCAAGAAAGTATTCAGTCTTGGTCTCGCAAAAAAATTTAAATATTATAATTGTAGGGGGAAATTAAACTACTAAATTGAAGGAATCAGAAGAAAGCAGTAGAAACAAAAAAGGAATCAGATTATGAAATGGATAATTGAAAAAATAACATGCATTTAAGAACAAAAATAAGAAAAAAAGCAAACAAGAAAGCAAAGTAGATAAAAATTGGATTGTGAATATTTATTTATTTATTTTATGGATCCTCTTTCATATCATCACTTTCCCTATTTTTGTTCCATCATTTTCTCCAATTTCCTATATTTTGTTTAAGAAAGTTTTTTGACTCGCCCCCTAGTATATCTCTCATCCATATTAAAAATTTATCCTTATCTGTACATAAATTGGGGTTGGATTTGAGTTGTTTGAGCTGACTCATCTACTCTTTCAGGCTGGGTTGCCAATCACCTCCGAAAGCCCAAAATATGTGGGAGTAATATCTATATATTTAGTAAATTCAACAAAAGATATCCATTTACTATCATGTCATATAAAATAATTCAACATTTCAAATACAATCACTTTTCATGAACTTTAGTTTTCCAAAACTAGTTGTGTTATAGAATGATGCATTGAATATATACATGCCATATAACTAGTAATGTTACGAATTTTTCCATTTGACATGAAGGAGTGCCAATTTGATTGAAAGCTCATTTAAATAAATGTAAGCCCAATTTCTATAACTCACTTTGTTAGGCCCAGTTCTATACGGTGTTGATTTGTGACCGTAAGATCTAGGGATTCTATCTAGACCATCAATTTCGATCTAACCTAAGTATAAATATGTGTGATGTGTTGTAGCGCCGCCTTAAGCTTTAGATACATTTTCTCTCTCTATCACTCTACTCTCTTGCAATCTTGTCTTCTCCTCGTAGGATTTCTCTCATCTTTTAGTTGATCTATTTAGTGTTAGATATTGATTCTTGACCTCTACTCTTGTGAGGTTTTGAGAGTCACCGTCGATTTCCGAAAGCGAAACAAGTTGTTCTATGTTTGTCTTCATCGTTGGCGAGTGCATTTTTTAAAGCAATTTTATGAGTGGATTGAGTTTTTTCCACTGTTAATCGAGTGAACATGGTGTTTACTTCGAAATGGGAGTTGCAACTCGATGGTTGTAAGGGGATATAGTCCGAAGAGCTGCGAGTATGTATTTTTCTGCCTTCAGTTTGAATCTGGTGCATTGATATCTCAGTAGTTTGGGGCCCTAAGCGTTTATACGTAGTTTACTTAAAGTATTTTGTGTTTGGGACCAAAGCCTTTATTTGTTTGGATTCATTTTTGTTCGCTTGATATTTTTTTTCCTTGATTATATTAATAAATAGATCCTAAAATATTTACTAGTAACTTAAATATTTTCTTTCTAAAAAAATTGTATTTCAAACATGGAAAATATCAATTAGCAATCGTATCTTAACTTTTCCTTGTTTCTCATATAATCACATATTTACTTTATATTATTCTTATAAATGGTTTAGTAACAAAAATAAATTAATAAAACCTATAACGACTAATTTTTCAATCTTGTGTTTCAGTGTTACCTCTATTGTTGTTTCTATAAAGACTTCATCAAATACGTCAATGCACTCATCTTTCTTTTTCAAGAAGTTTACTACTTCTAAAATATGAGGTATGTGTTCTTCATTTTCTAAACTATATTCCATAATATTTGTTCCTCAATCTTAGCATTAGGGAAGCACATTAGTGGTTTCACTTGTTCTATCCTTAAAATGATGTTTTTATATTTTTGGGGACTTTTTTTTTTTTTTTTTTTTTTTTAAATTCTGCATTTTGTTTTCTTTTGAGTTTATTTCATCTTCGATTTTGGATTTCTTAACCTATTAGTAATATTAGCTTGGCTTGATTTTATTTTATTTTATTTTTTTGTTATGTTTCTTCAACTAAAATAACAAAATTTGCAAAATTTGTTAGTACCTCATAAAATCGGCAGCATACAAAACAAACAAGCTAAACACAAGGAGACTGCTGCAGAAATTCATTGTCTGCAAGTTAAGGTTGAATTCCTGACTAATATCATCAATCGAAAGGTGCATTTATTTTGCTTTTGATTGGCCATTGTTTCTGTCATTGTCTTTCCATGTGCATTGTGTGTATGTAGTATATATGAAGTTACTTGCTTGCACATGTGTGCAGGAAAATGAAAGGGATGTTTTGACTTCTAGATCAGCTCAGACAAATTCAAAAGTAAAAAACCTGAAATATTCAAAGGTATGCGTTGTCTACCTAACTGTACTTTGATTAGGAGACAAATCTTATTTCATTATGCTAACTTGATACTGGATGTTTGGTCTTACCACGTTTAGCATATAACAGTAGGTTGTAGTGTGAATTATAATGTCAATAGGTTTAGATCAGGAAGACGTATAAGAAAATAGAGCAACATACGCGGGCTTGTTTTGGAAGGTTGATATAATTGATTAGAAATTTCAAAGTTTTGGTGTGTGGATGCAGATCACTGGTCTAAAGAGAACTGCAGCAGACCTGAAGCTTCTTTATCAAATGCATGTACATGAATCAGTTGACTCAAGGTTAGTATTCCTCAGTTTTTTAAATTAGAGCCGTAGTAATGGATCTTATGTTAACTGTGCCTGACACATTCGTACTCCCAACATTAGGAAGTTAAACGTGAAATTTGTTGAGATTCTTGAGTCAGTTGTGGATTAGCTGTCATGCTTTCATGCATAGGAAAAAGTTGTCGATGTACCTCTGTCATTTTAACTTTACTGCAAATATTTTTGTTTCTTCAATTAAATTAACAGAATTCATAATGTGTGATTGCCCAGCGATGGAAGAATGCTCAGTTGTTCTTCAGAACGTTACCAACCTTTATAAACAAGTTTAACAGAATTCATAATGTGTGATTGCCCAGCGATGTAAGAATACCCTAGCGCAGATCTCACGTACTTATAATAATAGTTTCATATACTTCAATAAATTGTCCATATGCCCTGGTAACCCATGCTTGGAAAACCGACTATTTTTTATTTGAAATATTCACTTTGTTGTTGGTAATCTAGGATGAATTCATCATGATAATGTTTCCGAGACTCTCCGAATTGTAACGGATAGGTAAACAACACATATTAATAATTGTGGGAAACACCATCATACATATACAATAAATGTTCAATCTTTACTTGTGGATGGTGAACCAAGTCATAAATGAGTTAGTTAAATTTTTTTCATTATTAGGTTATATGAGTGATGTTACGCATTAATTAACAATTGATGCAACTTGAATTCTCTCGCACGAAGTAACACAAGGCAAAGGTAGTAACTCTTCCTTGAAAGGGCGAGTTGTAATATACTACTAAGACTTCGACTGTTTTCTATATAATAGGACAAACACTTCTCTTCTGAAATATTTTTGACCCATAATATAGTAATCTAAGTTATTGGACACTCACATACTCAAGTAACAAGTCAAGAGCATTTTAAAAAATAGTAAGTCGGTTAAAAAAGCAAGTACTCCAACACGGCTCTTATATACCCCTTATTTATTTTAATGTACGAATTCTTACCGAATTATGTACTTGAGCTCCACTTTTATGTAATAAAGAATGCAACTTTATAATATAGGTGGGTAATTGTAAATCTATATACATTTCAAATGAATGCTCATGTGGATGTAGTCAAGGACCTAGAGTGAGCTCAATAGATTCTGAAAAGAATAAGAATTCATAATCCTCTTTGTATGGGTTTCACAAATGCAACACAATGTAACATTCAGTTTTTTCCATTTAGAAAATTAATTAACATATATTTACATATTTTTTGTGAATACTTGTATGGATATACTCAAGGACCAAAAGTGAGCTAGATAGATTCCGCTTAGAACATGAGTTTATAATCATCTCCGTATGGGTCTAACAATGCAACAATTTAACACTTACTTTCTCCCATTTGGATAATTAATTAGCATAAATTTAGATTAATTTTAAGGTTGGTAATACGCTAACACGCCCATGTGCTTTGCGCTATCATACGCCCTCAAATAATATAACTTGACTCACCGGCCATTTGTGTACCTCTGTTACGTTTTCGGAAACCTATGTTGTCATCATATCACATATAAAAGAGCATTGTCACATACCTGTCAGCGTGCTCATATACCACAGTACATAGAAATTACTAATGCGGTTCTATGCAACCATGCTCCTGGTTTGTATATTTACCTACAATAATAAATTATATCCAACAAGCCAAATGTAATTACACGTCAAAAGGAATATCCTATCAAAACAAAAAATGACCCATTTCCAAGTCTACAATGATTGTATTTTTGCGACTATTTTACTTGTTGGGACTCATATTACATGAAAGCACATAGACAACAAATGATTATTTCACATCCTATCAAAACCAAAATTTACAAATTTAAAAGTTCTGTGATATCCGCTCGTTGCAATTTCGTCGGTTGTATCTTAAACTTATTTTTTCCCTCTCCATCGAAATAATTTCAAACTGCTTTCTTCCCTCTCTATCAAAACCGATAAATCCTACACATAAATAAAAAAATTTCCTCACCATGTACAATGATATTACCAAACCACTAAAATCTAGCTAGACTTCAGCATAACAATTTGGTGATGCAAGAAATATAAAAAAAAAAAAAAACATTGTTTGTAGTATTCATAATGATCCTCATATCGATAACTAGTTTGAAAATTGTAAATTATATGTGAATAAACAACATCCGGTCATAAATATAAACAACATGTAGTCATTTCCCAACTCATGAACAAACTATGTAGCCCAATTACAACTTTCTAAACAAATATAATTCATAAAACTAATGAACATCATCAATTCTTCAATCCTGTGACCTAATTAGATTTAGATAGTCAATCATTTCAACAAAAATAAGCAATGGCTTTACTCAAACTTCAACCAATTCATAATCCAAAATTTTTAAAAAATTCATAAATAAAATAAAAAAACCTTTGATAATATTGATTCAAAAACTTCCTGTTGGATCCTAAAATTTGGAGGTTCCAAGACCGTTCGTTGATTCGTCGGTGTGGGTTCCGGAAGTACTCCAAAGAGCCTGTCCGTCGTCGGATTTTGAGCGGCTCATTCGGTGGAGCCTGCACGGCTTCGAGCCTAAACGACCGATTTCGATGGATTTAAACTAACATCTACTAAAGGTCGGATAAAGCTACTTGAAAACGGATAAAATTATGCTAAAAACATAAAGACAAGTAATTCAAATTAAAATGCATAAATGGAAACTAAAAACTACAAAAAGAAAATAGTGAAATATGCGAGTTCATCTTCTTATGCGTGTGTGTGATGTATTTTTTTCTAGTTTTAATCCTAAGATAGAATAACCGCCCCTTCCCACTAAAAATGGCAGTTCCAATTATTCCTCCACCACTCTCAACCGTTTGGTAACCTCCCACTACTACCTCCAACTACCTGGTAACCTCCTTCCACTATCTCCAACTGTCTGGTAACCTTCTTCCATTAGTTCCCTGGTAACCTCCTTCCATCAGCTCCTGACCACCTGGTAACCTCCTACCATCAACTCTCAACCGCTTCCATTGCCTCTGGACTGGGTTCCACTTGCTCTGAACTTCTTCCATTGCCTCTGGACCAGATCTGCCACTTACTTCGACTTGTTTCCATCGTACTCCTAGCCGGTCCACGGGGATGTATCCCTAACAGCCTCGAGTTAAATGGAATCTTTGGCTTTCCTCTTGTTGGGTTGTTCTATGGAGATTTTTGAATAAAGTATGAAAGTGCATAGGCCCTCCACTAATGTTAAGTACAAAATTATTAACACAGGGCCAACAGAGGTAGTTATCTCATGATCTATGGAAGTTGTTGGTTTCTATCTTGTGAAGGCAACATTCCTCTACTTTGTGGAAGCATCGCAGTCCAATAGAGGTAGTTGTTTTCAACCCAATGGAGACAGCACTTTCTGACCTTATGAAAACATTATTCCGGAATGGAGGCGCTATATTCCAAGGAGTTGCTGCCCTAAGGTCCATGGAGGCTGATGTTTTCGGCCCTGTGGAAACACCATAATCCAATGAAAACTGTTGCCTTCGGCTCTGTAGAGGCAGCAGTCTTTGGCTCCGAGGATTGAAGCTCCATTCCTATTAAGCGGCTCCGTGGCCAATGAGCTTTTGCTCCATTTTTATCTTTGAGTCTCCTTCACGTTCAGGTGATTTTGGACCCATGTCCAATAATGCCCTCCTCAAAAGGGCTGGGTGATTGCTTCCATTGAGCCCATGTCCTTTTGTTTTGAGCCGTTCATTTGAATCAATTGTGGTCACTTATTTCGACAAGGGATCCTCCTCGGCCTTCACTTCTTGGACTTCATTTCCATCCCAAAACATCAATGTTTTTTATGGAGTGTCGAAGGCACACACTCGCATGCATGAATTTAATTCCGTTTCAAGTAAGCGAATAAAATGGCCTATTATCAATCACCATGAAATTTGATGGTATTTTCTTTGTCCCCACATGGACATTAGGGTGTGTTTGTTTGGGGGTTTGGATTTTGGATTGTGATTTGAATAGTAAAAATTTTGAATTTGAATAGTTGTATGATGTGATATAAATAGGTGTTGATGTGATGTTTTGAATATAAAATTGATTTTTAGTATAATATAAAAAATGAAAAATAGATGTTTGATTTGATGTTTTTTGGGGGAAAAAATTGGATGAATAGTTGAATTTAAATCCAATCCTCAAAACGAACACACCCTAAAAGTGATCATACCTGCCAGTTTGTAAGAATTTCCAAAAAATTGGTAAATCGTACAAATGTAGAAATCAAATCGTCACTAGTCTTTCCGAACTTCCGTAGGGTCTCAATTGGCAACACATTCACAGAAGCTCCACTGTCCCCCAGAACTTGGTCAAGCGGATAGCCATTCATCGAGACCCGAATGTGCAAAGGCTTGACATGTTGCTTTTGGCCATGCCCGAGCCTCTTAAATTCTATCATCGTTGCCACATCATTCCATTCAAAGATAGGCTCTTCGTCAACGACAACTTTCTATAACTCTTGAACTTCTTCGGGAGGCTCCTCTACTTGTTTTCTTTTAGGGAAGAACTTCATAGCCTGGTTCCTTAGCAGTTCAACAAACTACTTTCTTTCTGGAAGTGGCTCCACAACCTTTTTCCTTTCTGAAATCGGCTCCACAACCTGCTTCCTTTCTGAAAGCGGCTGCAAAACTTGTTTCCTTAGCGGTTCCACAGCCTGCTTTATATCTTGAAGCGGCTCCACAGCCTACTTGTTCTCTGAAAGTGACTTCATAGCCTGCTTCCTTTCTGAAAGTGGCTTCACAGCCTGCCTTCTCTCTGAAAGCGGTTTCACAACTTGCTTTCTTGGCAGCTCCATGACTTGCTTTCTTTCTGGAAGCGGCTCCATAGCCTGCTTCTTTTTTTGAAGCAGCACCACAATCTGTTTTTTCTCTAAAAGTGGCTCCACAGCCTACTTTCTTTCTAAAACCGACTCCACAGCCTGCTTCCTTGGCAGCTCCATGGCCTGCTTCCTTGGCGGCTCCATGGTCTACTTTCTTTCTAGAAGCGGCTCCACAGCCTGCTTCGATGGTGCCTCCATGGCCTGCTTCCTTTTTGGAAGCGACTCTACAACTTACTTCTTTTTTTTAGGTAGCTCCATGGCCTGCTTTCTTAGCAGCTCCACAGCCTGCTTTCTTTCTGGAAGCGGCTCCATAGCCTGCTATTTTTTTTAAGCGGCTCCATGTTCTGCTTTCTTTCTTGAAGCAGCCCTACAACTTGCTTCTTTTTTTAGGCGGCTCCA